TAGCCTCCAGTCCCCTGATCATCTTTGTTGCTCTTCTCTGCACTCTTTCTAGAGTCTCAACATCTTTTTTACAGCGTGGTGACCAAAACTGGATGCAGTATTCCAAGTGTGGCCTTACCAAGACATTGTAAAGTGGTATTAATACTTCACGTGATCTTGATTCTATCCCTCTGTTAATGCAGCCCAGCACTGTGTTGGCCTTTTTGGCAGCTGCAGCACACGGCTGGCTCATGTTTAAGAGATTGTCCACTAGGACTCCGAGATCCCTCTCACAGTTACTGCTATTGAGCAAGGTACTCCCTATACTATACCTGTGCATTTGTTTTTTCTTGTCTAAATGTAGAACCTTACTTTTTTCACCATTGAATTTCATTTTGTTAGATAGCGCCCAGTGTTCAATCTGTCCAGATCCTCCTCTATCCTAAGCCTGTCTTCTGGAGTGTTGGCTATGCCAGCTTGGTGTCGTCTGCAAATTTGATGAGTTCCCCATCTATCCCCTCGTCCAAATTGTTGATGAAGATGTTGAAGAGCACTGGGCCCAGAACAGAGCCCTGGGGCACCCCACTACACACTTCCCTCCATGTAGATGTGGTTCCACTGAGGACCACACGCTGAGTACGGCCGGTCAGCCAGCTACGGATCCATCTGGTGGTGATGCTGTCTAACCCGCATTTTTCTATCTTATTAAGTAACACACAAAGCCTGAATTATGATGGGAAAGACGCAAGAGGGAAAGTTTAATGAAAAGTACTGTTTATTGTTCTCTGAATTTTAACCGAATCTTGCATGGTTTTACTACAACCGTATAAAAACACTGGAACTGAGCTCCTCGGCTCTCCTAAAATTTAAGTGCTTGTTAGCACTTTCTTACGAGATATAACTCACACAGACTACGCGAATACTCCCCACTTGCTATTGGGGAATTGTTATGCATCTCTTCAGACTTGGTTTCACTTCTGAAGTGCCGATACTCTGTTATCAATAAACATGTTGTTTGAGGAATTTGCAAGCCTGGGATTTCTGCTTTATTCGTCTCTGTCGATCGAAACCTTGACAGTATCTAAGATATCAACACATTTTCTCTGTTGCATTGTTAAAAAGCTTTAAAGTTTTCATTATACTAGAATAAATCCATGTTGTATGAAAACATTCCATTAGCTTCTTCTACAAAAGCATTTCACATGTGCCAAATATTGGAGTCAACAGGAAAGAGAAAGAAAGAAAGAAAGAAAGAAAGAAAGAAAGAAAGAAAGAAAGAAAGAAAGAAAGAAAGAAAGAAAGAAAGAAAGAAAGAAAGAAAGAGGGAGAGAGAGAGAGAGGGAGAGAGAGAAAGAAAGAAAGAAAGAAAGAGGAAGGAAGGAAGGAAGGAAGGAAGGAAGGAAGGAAGGAAGAGGGAGGGAGGGAGAGGGAGGGAGGAAGGAGGGAGGGAGGGAGGGAGAGGAAGGAAGGAGGGAGGAGAAGGAAGGAAGGAGAAAGAAAGAAAGAAAGAAAGAAAAGAAAAAGAAAGGAACAAGGAAGGAGAAAGGAAGAAAGGAAAGAAAGAAAAAAAGAAAGAAAAAAGGAAGGAAGGAAGGAAGGAAGGAAGGAGAGAGAAAGAAAGAAAGAAGAAAAAGGAAAGGAGAAAGAGAAAGAGAAAGGGAGAGGAAAAGAAAAAGAGAAAGAAAAATGAAAAAGAAAGAAAGAAAGAAAAAGAAAGAAAGAAAGAGAAAGAAAGAAAGAAAGAAAATTTGTTTTCTTCTATATAAACATCCTCTGGAATATTAAACCCTTCCTAAAAATAGTGGTCAAAAAAGATTACACTCGCTTGAGGTCACTTAATATCTAAAGCCTCCATCTATCTCTTTGTCAGGCTCAAATAACCAGGAGCATTCACTGAGTTCAAAGCATAGCAGAGTTTATTATCGTTACCTATACGCAAGAATCTGGTCAACCAACTTTCAAAATTAAACAGGCTCTAGATAAGGGTGAGCAGAATTCACAGGGGAATTCTGGACGTGGGTCTCTTGTGGCTACGCAACAACTCCAAACTAATGACATATTTAACTCCACCCTTCCAGCTCAGCTCAGTTGCACCGGGAAGCAAACTGGCAACCCAGTTTGCAAAGCAAAGGTGTTACGTGGGTAAAGGGAGGCAGGATGTCGTGAAAAATTAGCCCCTTAAGAGACATTAATTGGTGGTGGTGCCTTCCTCTACAATCACGGCAACCAGATCTTTCCTATGGTTGATGATCCATCTCTCACCTTGTCATCCAGGGAGCCCTCAACTTACAACAGTTCATTCAGTCACCATTTGAAGTTACAATGGCACAGGAAAATATGACTTACAACTGTTTTCCACCCCCACACCATCCCCACGGTCACGTGATCAAACTTCGGACGCTTGGCAACTGACTCATATTTATGACGGTCTCAAGTGTTCCGGGAGGGGTCGCGTGATCCTTTTTGTGACCTTCCGGCAAGCAAAGTCAATGGGGGGAAGCCAGATTCACTTAACAACCGTGTTACTAAGTGACTGAACCGTGTTAAGTGAAACTCCAGTGTTTCACTTAACAACTGTGGGAAGAAAGCTCGTAAAACGGGGGCAAAACTCACTTAACAAAGGCCTCGCTTAGCAACATATATTTTGAGCTCCATTGCGGTCGTAAGCCGAGAACTCTTGTGTAGGGATTTGTTCATAGCAAAGGAATTCGACCCCAAATAAATAGACAAGACAGAAAATACACATGGTTTTGAACACCCAGGTGACGTAAACAAAATGTATTTCGGGACTGTGGCTTGCCTTTATGTAAAATGAAAGAACTGGGGTGTGATTTCATTTTAAAGTTTTTAAAAAAACCATACCCACCTCCATCCACCCCTGGGAAGGTAGCTGAAGGCTCCATCTATAACACTGGCAAAGAACTGCCCTCCTGTGATGAAAAGCGTATTTATAGTCACTAATCTGCCTCTCAGATGAGGTGGGGCCACTTCTGCAATGTAGACAGGAACTGTCATGGAAGCAATACCTGCAAGAGATAAATAAGAGAGTAATAATTAGAGAGAAGCCGTTTACAAAAATTAAAATCACAGGCACGTAAAGTCGACTAAAACCTTGGCGTTAGGAAGTTAAGAAGGCACGTTGAAATGATGCCTCATTTTTAGGAAAGCATTAAAAAAATCAATTCGTGTTAATTTCGAACCTAGCGAGCACGGCTCTAAATATTCATTTCTGCCTGAGAAGGCACACATTTCATGTTTTTAAATCATATACAATTTTAATCTTCTGTTTGATCATGAAAACCCCATTTTGAGGGTGCTAAACTGCAGGAGGAGGAGGAGGAAAAGGAGGAGAAGGAGGAAAAGAAGAAAAAGAAGAGGAGGAGGAAGAAAAGAAGAAGAAGAGGTAGAGGAGAAGGAGAAAGAGAAGGAGGAGGAGAAGAAGAAGAAGAAGAAAAGGTGGAGAAAGAGGAGAAGAAGTGGTGGTGGTGGTGGAGGAGGAGGAGGAGGAGAAGAAGAGGTGGAGAAAGAGGAGAAGAAGAAGAGAAAGAGAAGAAGAAGAGGAGGAGGAGNTTGAAGGTACAACAGTGCCGAAAAAGTGACTTATGATCATTTTTCACCCTTAATACCTACTACTCCAGCACGGTCATGTGATCAAAATTCAGAGGCTTGGCAACTGACTCATATTTATGACGGCTAAAAGGTCCCAGGACAAGATTCAGCAGTCCATCTACATTTAAAAGACAAAGGTCACCCTTTTGAAGACAAAAAAAGTCCACATTTTGGACAGAGAGGACCTCTGGTTTGAAAGAGGGGTCCAAGAGGCCATCTAGGTCAAAACTGAACAGCCCCCTTCTCAACAGAAGGGGAGGGATACAACATCCTCTATCTGCAGTCTACAACACAATCTTTTCAACATTTCCAAGAAGGCTCCACACCCATTTGCACCACTCAGGTGACCTTCAGGACACAGGTAAGCCTCCAAGTGGCCTCAACGACTCTCTACAAGAATGCAAATGACCAGCCGTCTGCAAGGAGTATAAATCCTTCCACTCCCCACCATCCAGTCAGAGCTGAAGAAGCTTCTTAAATGAGAAGCGAAACGCCTTCAAAGAAAGAAACAAGAAAGTCCAGTTGTCTCATGAAGAAGCATCTTTGGGGACAACCTTGACCTGGATGACGGAGCATCTCCACAGAAACTCATTAAAATGCCGCTACGCAATCGCAGCCGGTTGATTAAACCAGGGCTTTTCAACCAGTGGTACGGGTTGTGGTACATTGGCACCTGGCAGGTGGTACGTGAACATCCTAGAAAAGGGGTAGCAGGGGAGGGGAATGAGCTGAACCGGTGGCAGCACCGCACAAACCTGAGCGAGAGACGGCTGGAGCTGCAGGGCTGCCAGGGCTCAGTGGAAGCGCCAGGATCAGCGCCAGGCTACAGCTGGAGCTCGGCACTGATCCTGGCGCTTCTGCTGAGCCCAGAAGAAGCGCCGATCAGCTGGAATGTTGCAGCCCCTCCAGGGTCTTGTGATTTACATTCAGAGGCTTGGCAACCGATTCATATTTATGACGGTCACAGTGTCCCAGGGTCATGTGAAGTGACCAAAACCTGCTGCAACCACCCAGCAAACGGGGGGAATAAAAACCAAACCCCCCCCACCCCACCTCCCGCTGCCAATCCTCAACAGAAATGCTCACAACAATGGATACCTCGGACAGGAGGAAGAGCGCCACCGGGCGGGCAGGTAGGTGTCTTGCTCGGCTGTGCCTTGGGGGGCACTTTTTTCAGTGCCATTGTAACTTCGAACAGTCACTAAGCGAACTGTTGTAAGTCAAGGACTACCTGTACTTTATCACTTTTTTCCTTTTTATTTTTTTTTTGGTCATCTAGTTTCTGACACCTTGCTAGGCGACTGGTGGTACTCGGATGTTGCCATCTCCTAAAAGTGGTACAATGGGTGAAAAGGTTGAAAAGCCCTGGATTAAACCATACGCAAAGAAGAATGAAAATAATTCCCGCCTACCTGCGCCCACTTCCTTTTCTTCCTCCTCAATGTTGTTCTTGATGCTATCGAATTCGTCGTCGATTGACTGATTTCCCCGCATCCGCGAAAGAATTCTTCGTGCTTTTTGAATCTGCCCTTTCTGAATCAGCCAACGCGGACTTTCCGGAAGAAAAAGGAAACCAACAAATTGTATGACAGCTGGAATCGCCGAAAGACCCAGCATATATCTACAGGGAGAGAAATAAATTTTTTTAATATTCGGCTTGTTAACATTCTCTTCCTAGAAAAACAGCAGGAGTTTAAAGCTTTGGATATTTTCTTCGGGGACTCCCTTACAGGTAGATCTTGACTTACCACCACAGCTGGGCTCAACACTTTCGTCGTTAAGTGAGACGGTTGTTAAATGAGGTTTTTGCCCCGTTTTATCTTTCTTGACCCAGTTATTAAGGAAATCATAGTGGTTGTAAAGTTAGTAACACAATTGTTAAGTGAATCTGGCTTTCGCATTAAGATGCTCTTCAACATCTTCATCAACGATTTGGATGAGGGGATAGATGGGGAAATCATCAAATTTGCAGATGACACTAAGCTGGCAGGAATAGCCAACACTCCACAAGACAGGCTTAGGATGCAGGAGGATCTGGGCAGACTTGAACACTGGGCGCTATCTAACAAAATGAAATTCAATGGTGAAAAAAGTAAGGTTCTACATTTAGGCAAGAAAAACCAAATGTACAGGTATAGTATAGGGGGTACCTTGCTCAATAGTAGTAACTGTGAGAGGGATCTCGGAGTCCTAGTGGACAATCACTTAAATATGAGCCAGCCGTGTGCTGCAGCTGCCAAAAAGGCCAACACAGTGCTGGGCTGCATTAACAGAGGGATAGAATCAAGATCACGTGAAGTATTAATACCACTTTACAATGCCTTGGTAAGGCCACACTTGGAATACTGCATCCAGTTTTGGTCACCACAATGTAAAAAAGATGCTGAGACTCTAGAAAGAGTACAGAGAAGAGCAACAAAGATGATCAGGGGACTGGAGGCTAAAACATATAAGAAAAGGCTGCTGGAATTGGGTATGTCTAGTTTAATGAAGAGAAGGACGAGGGGGGACATGATAGCAGCGTTCCAATATCTCAGGGGCTGCCCCAAAGAAGAGGGAGTCAAGCTGTTCTCCAAAGCGCCTGAAGGCAGGACAAGAAGCAACGGATGGAAACTCATCAAGGAGAGAAGCAACCTAGAACTAAGGAGGAATTTCCAGATAATTAGAACAATTAACTAGTGGAACCACCTGCCTCCAGAAGCAGTGAATGCTCCAACACTGGAAGTTTTTAAGAAGAGACTGGACAGCCATCTGTCCGAAATGGTATAGGGTTTCCTGCCTGAGCAGGGGGTTGGACTAGATGACCTCCAAGGTCCCTTCCAACTTTATTATTATTATTATTATTAAGTGTGGGAAATAGTCAAAAGTCATTTTTTTCAATGCCGTTGTAACTCTGAATGGACACTAACTGAACTGTTTTAAGTCAAGGGCTACCTCTATTATTCTAAACACGCAGACCATAAAAGAGCAGTCTATATTCCATATTTCAGCAACAGCCTATTCCAATAAATCCTACATTTCAGATATATCATGCAGTGGTTTCCTCAGCATCAACACACAAAGTCTGAATTATGATGGGAAAGATACAAGAGGGAAAGTTTAATGAAAAGTACTGTTTATTGTTGTCTGAATTTTAACCGAATCTTGCATGGTTTTACTACAACCGTATAAAAATACTGGAACTAAGCTCCTCGGCTCTCCTAACATTTAAGTGCTTGTTAGCACTTTCTTACAAGATATAACTCACACAGACTACGCGAATACTCCCCACTTGGTATTGGGGAATTGTTATGCATCTCTTCAGACTTGGTTTCACTTCCGAAGTGCCGATACTCTGTTATCAATAAACATGTTCTTTGAGGAATTTGCAAGCCTGGGATTTCTGCTTTATTCGTCTCTGTCGATTGGAACCTTGACAGTATCTAAGATATCAACACAGTTTCCCTGTTGCATTGTTAAAAAGATTTAAAGTTTTCATTATACTAGAATAAATCCATGTTGTATGAAAACATTCCATTAGCTTCTTCTACAAAAGCATTTCACATGTGCCAAATATTGGAGTCAACAGGAAAGAGAAAGAAAGAAAGAAAGAAAGAAAGAAAGAAAGAAAGAAAGAAAGAAAGAAAGAAAGAAAGAAAGAAAGAAAGAAAGAAAGAGAGAGAGAGAGAGAGAGAGAGGGAGAGAGAGAGGGAGAGAGAGAAAGAAAGAGGAAGGAAGGAAGGAAGGAAGGAAGGAAGGAAGAGGGAGGGAGGGAGAGGGAGGAAGGAGGGAGGGAGGGAGTTAGAGGAAGGAGGAAGGAAGGAGGGAGGAGAAGGAAGGAAGGAGAAAGAAAGAAAGAAAGAAAAGAAAAAGAAAGGAACAAGGAAGGAGAAAGGAAGAAAGAAAGGAAAGAAAGAAACAAAGAAAGAAAAAAAGAAAGGAAGGAAGGAAGGAAGGAAGGAGAGAGAAAGAAAGAAAGAAGAAAAAGGAAAGGAGAAAGAGAAAGAGAAAGGAAGGGAGAGGAAAAGAAAAAGAGAAAGAAAAATGAAAAAGAAAGAAAGAAAGAAAGAAAAAGAAAGAAAGAAAGAGAAAGAAAGAAAGAAAATTTGTTTTCTTCTATATAAACATCCTCTGGAATATTAAACCCTTCCTAAAAATAGTGGTCAAAAAAGATTACACTCGCTTGAGGTCACTTAATATCTAAAGCCTCCATCTATCTCTTTGTCAGGCTCAAATAACCAGGAGCATTCACCGAGTTCAAAGCATAGCAGAGTTTATTATTGTTACCTATACGCAAGAATCTGGTCAACCAACTTTCAAAATTAAACAGGCTCTAGATAAGGGTGAGCAGAATTCACAGGGGAATTCTGGACGTGGGTCTCTTGTGGCTACGCAATAACTCCAAACTGATGACATATTTAACTCCACCCTTCCGGCTCAGCTAGGTTGCACCGGGAAGCAAACCGGCAACCAGTTTGCAAAGCAAAGGTGTTACGTGGGTAAAGGGAGGCAGGACGTCGTGAAAAATTAGCCCCTTAAGAGACATTAATTGGTGGCGGTGCCTTCCTCTACAATCACGGCAACCAGATCTTTCCTATGGTTGATGATCCATCTCTCACCTTGTCATCCAGGAAGCCCTCAACTTACAACAGTTCATTCAGTGACCATTTGAAGTTACAATGGCACAGGAAAATATGACTTACAACCGTTTTCCACCCCCACACCACCCCCACAGTCACGTGATCAAACTTCGGACACTTGGCAACTGACTCATATTTATGACGGTCTCAAGTGTCCCGGGGGGGTGTCGCGTGATCCCTTTTGCGACCTTCCGGCAAGCAAAGTCAATGGGGGGAAGCCAGATTCACTTAACAACCGTGTTACTAAGTGACTTAACCGTGTTAAGTGAAACTCCAGTGTTTCACTTAACAACTGTGGGAAGAAAGCTCGTAAAACGGGGGGCAAAACTCACTTAACAAAGGCCTCGCTTAGCAACAGATATTTTGAGCTCCATTGCGATCGTAAGCCAAGAACTGTTATGTAGGGATTTGTTCATAGCAAAGGAATTCAACCCCAAATAAATAGACAAGACAGACAGAAAATACACATTGTTTTGAACACCCAGGTGACGTAAACAAAATATATTTCGGGACTGTGGCTTGCCTTTATATAAAATGAAAGAACTGGGGTGTGATTTCATTTTAAAGTTTTAAAAAAAACCATACCCACCTCCATCCACCCCTGGGAAGGTAGCTGAAGGCTCCATCTATAACACTGGCAAAGAACTGCCCTCCTGTGATGAAAAGCGTATTTATAGTCACTAATCTGCCTCTCAGATGAGGTGGGGCCACTTCTGCAATGTAGACAGGAACTGTCATGGAAGCAATACCTGCAAGAGATAAATAAGAGAGTAATAATTAGAGAGAAGTCGTTTACAAAAATTAAAATAGCAGGCAGGTAGAGTCGGCTAAAACCTTGGCGTTAGGAAGTTAGGAAGGCACGTTGAAATGATGCCTCATTTTTAGGAAAGCATTAAAAAAATCAATTCGTGTTAATTTCGAACCTAGCGAGCACGGCTCTAAATATTCATTTCTGCCTGAGAAGGCACACATTTCATGTTTTTAAATCATATACAATTTTAATCTTCTGTTTGATCATGAAAAACCCATTTTGAGGGTGCTAAGCTGCAGGAGGAGGAGGAGGAGGAGGAGGAGGAGGAGGAGGAGGAAGAAAAGAAGAAAAAGAAGAGGTGGAGGAGGAGAAGAAGGAGAAAGAGAAGGAGGAGAAGAAGAAGAGGTGGAGGAGAAGGAGAAGAGATGAAGGAGGAGGAGGAGAAGAAAAAGAGGTGGAGGAGGAGAAGGAGAAAGAGAAGGAGGAGGAAGGACAAGAAGGAGAAGGAGAAGAAGAGGTGGAGGAAGAGGAGAAGGAGAAGGTGGAGGAGGAGGAGAAGAAAAAGAAGAGGAGGAGGAGGAGAAG